GCGGCCAGAGATTGGGGTGGGGGGTCTGGGGGAGACTCCGGGTGGTTTTGGCAGCAGCAGGGTCCAAGGGGGCCGGGGAGAGCGGGGGCTGCTGCCCATGGGGCGCGGGGGACCGTGTTTTTAGCACTTTGGTTGGTACTATCACCTGTAGACGCACTTTGATGTTGTTGCTTTGAACCTTTGCCGAGTGTAAACCACGTGTATTTAAAAGAATTACAAAAAAAAAAAAAAACCAACCCCAAAAAAAGTGTGTAAAGAGCTATTTTATGATTCAGTGTTGAATAAAGACTCTTGAGATTGAGGTGGGGTTTTCACTCGCAGCTCCGGCACCGAACCAGTGAGGCCAGTTGGTGTTTGGGGCTTACTGGGAGCATCTCCTACCTCCCTCACCCTGCAGGCACAGGAGTTTTGGGGTCCGTGGTCTCCACTGGTCCAGCCCCATGGGGCACATCCAAGTTTGGCATGAAAATGCTCAGTTCTCTGCTGAAAAATAAAAGACTGAAGGAAGAATAAAGGAAAAAGGGGGATTAATTTTGGGTGGGGAAAACAGCTCGGGGGGGTGGAGGGAACAAGCGCTCACGAGCTGTGCCTCAGCTGAGATGCACAGCCACAAGGACTCACGGTGGCTGGCACAGGGCAGAAATGACACATTTTGTGGTGTAAAAGACCATCAACTCACTTAATTCACTGAGCAAACGGGGCAAAACCCAGTTGAAACAGTTAAACTTATAACCCTAAGCACGAGCTACCGCTACAAAGCGAGCGGCAAAGAGAGGAACAGCCCAGTTCGCCACTGAAACACTGTCACCTTTTTATTGTGTTGGAGCCCGGCTTCAGAACCCCCAGAAAGAAACCAAAAACAAAAATAAAAGTATAAATAGGACCAAAACCCCACAGCCGCTGCACGCCCGGCCAGCGACGGGGAGGGCTCCGCTCATCGCGGCGTCCACGGGGAAGGCCGAGGCGAGCCCAAGGGGATCAGTGCTGTGGAGGAAACATCGAGGCAGGGCATCTCACAAGAGGTGGCCGCTGCCCGAGGCCAAGATTTGACTCTAATTAAAGGCCATCTGGTAAACGGCCTGTTAATTAAGCTAGGAATCAATTCTTTCGCACTGCGGATGCTGGAGAGGGCTGGGTCTCAGTGGTTGTGGGGTCTGGCTCGGCCCCGGCTCCGGCCGCTGGGCGCCGCCGCGTCCACGGTGGAGCAAGGGTTTTTGATGGTTTCGTCCACGGAGACGATGAG